TTCCTCGGGGACAATCCACTCTCATCTTCCCCCACTCTTTCCTAACTTTAGTCCATGTTGCTCACTGGTTCGGTTTCAAAAATAATTCAACATAAGAATATTTATCCTTCAAAACTCAATTTCATGTTCTCCTCTTGAACTTGACTCAATTTTCTACATCCAGTGCCACACCCAACTCATGTCTCAAAGCAATTTAACCCTCACTCTCCAATGACAAAAATGGCCTCCTGAATGTCATCAATTATCCCCAATTAACTGTTTCCATAAGGGGCCCTGATGGCGCATTGGTTAAATGGTCACTGCTTCAACACCACCAGAGCCCAGCAGTAGAACGAGTGGCAGTGGCTGCATAAAGACGCTAGCATGAAAACCTACCAGGAAGTTTGACTCTGTCCCCAGGGGGCCTGTAAGTCAGAGGCAACGTCACCATCTGACCCTCATCTTGAAGACCTCACTACACAATTGAGTAGTGACCTTGGACATCTCCTTCTGTTGGGAGCATTCTCAACAGCTTCTTTAACTCCATGTTTTCCACCTTCTCCCTACCCTCTGGGTTATTTACAATTCATTGCAGATCCTCCTTAAAACTCATTGCAGATCCTCTTTCTCTTCCTCACTTTTCACAACACTTTCTTAGGAATCTCTTAGCTTCTCATTGATCTTTCTACCTAAATATTTTTGGTTCATAACCATGGCTTTAATGACCATTAAACTGGATCTCCATCCAAGTCTTCTGTTCTAATCACATCAGCACTCTGAATGTTTCCTAAGCACATCGAACATGGTACGTCTCAGACGCTGTCCATCATCTTCTTACCGGCTCCTCCTCTGATTCTGGCTCTGCCAATTACGACAAACCAGAGGGTTGGTTGTTTAAGTCACTAACATGCTGTTGATTGTCTCTTGCCTCCCTCCCCAGAACTATTATGCTAGTCTGGATCTTCTGTAGCAAGACTAAACTCCAAAGGCTTCCTTTTTACACCTTTTAGCTGCTTGTCTCCAGGTGTTTTTACAAAGCACAAGACTGATCTCTTGACCACCTCCCAGAGCTTTGCGGTCCAAAGCCTTTAACCTAAAAAGATGTGCTCCCTCCAGTCGTTACTACTGTCCAGTTTAGCTCTACTCTCTACTTAATTTTACATTACAACTATCCTACATGATTTTCCTCTTGTTTGGCATGTGCACACAACAAATGCCAGTTGTGTGCAAGTTTAAATCACCACTACCACCCCACCCCCATGCACACACATGGCATTTGGCAATGTCAGAGACATTTTTGGCCATCCTAGCTGATGGCAGGAGCCCTGGTGGTATAATGGTTACACATTGAACTGCCATCCGCAAGGCCATCAGTTCAAAATCACCAGCTGATCTGAGGGAGAAAGATGGTGCTTTCTGCTTCCATAAAGAGTTGTAGTCTTAGAAACTAAAAGGTGCAGTTCTATTGTACCCTACAGGGTCACTATGTGTCGGCTTGAACTCAACGGCAGTGAGCTTGGCTCTAGCTGATGTTGTGCGACAGGGGTGCTGTGCTGTTCCTAAACATTCTACAATGCACACGGCACCCCCACCCCACCCCCACAGCACAGAACTATGTGAACCAAACTGTTAATAATGGAGAGGCTGAGAAAGACTGGCCTTTTCTGTCCTGTCTGTCTGGACTAATCTTCATTGCTCTTCTACTCCACTCTTCTACTAACTTCATTTAATCTGTTGTTCTTCATCTTAAATAGCTCTTTCTGTGAGAAATCCCCCCAGCAAGGTTAATTCCCATGAAACCTTTTATAATAACTTGTTCAAGATATGTTTTCCTATGAAGCTCTGTGTGGGCAGAATTATATCTATCCATTCAATATTGTTCTCCTATTACCTATATATATAGTTCTTGATTAATATCTTGACCATGGCATACACAATAGAGCTTTACCTGTTTTTCTTTGGAAAAAGATAATACGACCTCAATACCAGTTTCCTTAGCTGTAAATTATCAATGCTAACTTTCCCTCTCCCGAACAGTAATTTCTGTTGTAATGATGACATGCATGTGGTATAACCAATCATCTTTGCTCGCGCTGGTTTTCAAGTCCTGGGAAACTCCACTTCAGAGCAAACTCAAAAGATAAACGAATAAATGATACGTTCAATTGCTTTGTAAATATTTTCACTTAAAATGTTTAGAATAAGACTTGGCCTATAGAAAATCCTTAATGGTGTTAATTTCAATAATGATGGTGGTGATGGTAATACACTATTATTACATCCAATATCTTTAGAAAATATGTAGGCCATATAACCAAGCTAAAATATATTATTTCCACTTTATAACTAAAATCTACATCTGATTTTGTAGTTTCCCTCCTTCTATGGAGGGAAAAGTAGACTTAAACATTTTAATTTTATTCTACAAAAATAAGTTTACAGCCACTCTCCCCCCACCAGAGTGGGATGAACAACAGTAATGTGTGTAAAGGGAGACAATGGACAGTGTAAGATATGAGAATAAAAATAATTTATAATTTATTAAGGGTTTACGGGGGTGGAAGGATGGGAGGGGGAGGGGGAAAATGAGCTGATATCAAGGGCTCAAGTAGAAAGAAAATGTTTTGAAAATGATGATGGCAACATATGTACAAATGTGCTTGATACAATTGATGTATGGATTATTATAAGAGCTATGAAAGCCCCCGATAAAATGATTTATTAAAGAAAAACAACCCTGAACTTCCACCCTTAGCAGAGTGGGTTAATATGTGCATACTCTTGGCACTACGCAAATCTCTGAACATTTGGTGGGTTTTTAAACACACACACACACAAAATAAAAATAATTTTTCCATATTAATGATCCCCTTGTGCTACCAGTTTCATCACACTGGTAGAAAGAATGCCTGAGAGAAATTACTTGCATTTTCTGTTGACATAAATTGTAGTCAATCAAAATGTTCTTTCTGAGTCAATATTTTTGCAGTTCCACAATTGTTTATCTAATAAAGAGCCATTATTTCATTGATAAAAAGAGCAATCTGGAGAACTTTATTATATAATTGTCCATTAACTCTATTAAAAGCACTAGTGGGAAGAAATTGGTCATTTCAGAGGGTTCGAGGTTTTATATTATTTCTTAAGATAATATGCGTATGCTTGCATCATTTCACTAAACTAATGGAGGTACAATTTACTTTAGGTACAGATTTACCACACCAGAGTATCATGTGCCGTTAGCTCTGTGGTACCTCTTTTTAATGATTAGTTAACTTAAGGATAATGAAGACCTTATCATATGCCTAATTAGCCATGCAGTCCCTAATGGGAGCCTAACTCATTTAGATAAAGTCAGTTTACTGATCTCTTCTCCACTAGGGTCCTGGGGCAGGGTCACTAGAGGAATATAATAAAATATTGCATCTATTTAAAAAGTAGTAAATATAGCATAGCATTTGGACTTTGAGCTCTTGGTAACTATTACAAATTTTTCAAAATGGATATGCTTCCAATACCAGCTATTTCCAAATCTTTAAGTAAAAATTTTGTTTACTTTTAGGTGGGAATTTCTTAGATCAGCATGTCTTGTTTTTCAATTTCCTAAGTATGTAGTAGGGACCAAGAACTTTTTAATAATATTATATAGCATTTAATGCTTAATAATAGACCAAGGGTCAGTCATTCAAGCAGAAAAAAGGGATGTTATGTGGTTTAAATAGAGGAAAGGGTTGTATCCTTACATTATACTTATTCCAATGCTGAGAAAATAATCCTAGAAGCCAGACTATATGACTGTATGTGGCATCAGGATAGGAGGAGAATTCATTAACAACCTGAGATATGGCTTGCTGAAACTGAAAAGGGCTTGAAGCACTTCCTGATAACGATCAAAGACCTGGCATCCTTAATATGCATGATTCATCAACATAAAGAAGACAAAACCTTCGCAATTGAACCAATGAGTAACATGATAATAGATGAGAAAATCCGGAAGTTGCCAGTAATTCGTTTTACCTTAATACAAAATCAATGCCAGTATAAATAGCAGTCAAGAAATCAACCCACATATTGCTTGGGCAAACCTGCTGCAAAAGACCTCCCCAAAGTATTGAATAGCAAAGATGTCACTCTGAGAAGGAAGGTGCACCTGACCCACGTTGTATCATTTTCAATCACCTCAGATGCATGTGAAAACTGGATAATGAATAGGACGACGAAGGAAGAGTTGATACATTTAAATTATGGTGTGGGCAAAGAATATGATGCTACTACCAACTACAAGAATAGCAACAGTTTTGTCTTGAAAGAAATAAAGCCAGAATGCACCTTCAGAGCAAGCATGACAAGACTTTGTCTCATATGTTTTGGACATGTTCTCAGGAGGAACCAGCCACTGGAGAAGGACACTGTGTTTAGTAAAATGGAAGATAAACAAACAAAAAAAGAAAGAAAAAGAAAAGAGGAAGATTGCAAATGAGATGGATTGATACGGTGGCTGAAGATGGTGCAGGACCAAGTGTTTTGCTCTATTGTTATGAGTCATAGCCAAATTGACACCACCTAACAACAACACATATTTCACATTAGGTAAATATAATTAGAAAACGATCCCTTTGGACTAATTAGAAGTTGTGCAGTAGATCCAAGTGAAGAACCACTGTTTGCCACCAAATCTAATTTAGCTGAAATCTAAAGATTGCACTCACTCAAGACTTCCTCTCAAAAAAACAACAAAATAAACAAACAAGCAAACAAAACAACAACAAAAATGAACTGCCCCAGAGGGCCCCCAGGCTGTTAATCTTTACTGAAGCAGACTGCCAGGTTTTTATCTCCTCGAGCTGTTAGTGGGTTTCAATCAAGGACCTTTGGATTAGCCCTCAATGTCAACTACTGTGGATCAGGGCTCCTTCCTATTAAATTACATTTGTTTCTAAAATTTTCACAGGTTGATTAACAGTAGTTGTTCAGTTCATAAGACATAGCAACTGTACATTAGAGATGGAAATAATTCTTACCTCATTCTTCAGCTTGCTTCCAGAGAACCTTAAAAACCAATACAACTTTCATTAGTTCAAAAATGTATAGTTAAAGCTTGCAAAACAGTGCAGGGGGAACTACAAAAGTTTTAACTGCAAACATAAATAGTAAACTAAATCTAGGTAAATGTGTTTGGTTTTGCAAAGAGATCCAAGCATTTTTCTCAATTTATTCAAAATTAAGTTCTTTACAGGAAAGCAAAATGAAACACGCTTGAAGAAGTGAAGTAAGCTTTGACGCAAGCTAAGAACACATGATATTAAACATGTCTTTTAAAATTACAATCTATTGGCTTAGTTTACAAAATAGTAGTAACATTCTGAAACTCCAAACACACATGTACTAATAAGGTCATGAGAGAGTCATATCTATATATCTATAGTAGTTTTTAATTCCCAGGGGCAGTTTTCATGCTTCCTATTCCATTCATAGCCATATTTTGAGTGTGGCTGGATTGTGTTTAAAATAATACTGGTACATGGAATTTTTATCCTGGGTAGAGTTCAGACACATTAGCACACCTCCATAGGAGACAATTTTCTAACTGCTCTTTTCTGATGAGACTGTGGGCCCTAACAGGGTTACATTACTAAAGTGCCAGCCCAGACAGGAGCAGACCAGGGCTCCAGAAGTGTATCCAGAGAAAGCCGTCCTGCGGCCAACAGTAAAATCACGCCCCTGTCCAAACATTTGATGGTCATGTTTTCGATAACTTACCATGATGTCAGTCCAAAACTACAAATCAAACTCATTAATCTTTTACCTTAAACATATGGAAATGCTGGAAAATGGCAACTGCACCTTCCTAGCTTAGGCTGAAGACCATTGGGCTGGGGTGTGCTGCAAGTCATTTTTTCTTTCTTAGGCCCTTCCCTTTCTACATTCAGCAGAGCAAGGCCACACAGTCTGCCTGGACCCATGGAGGCTCTCACGTATAAAAGAATTCGTTTTAATCTGCTTAATGATCTCTTACAACTGGAAAGGGAAGTTGGAATGGTTAAAAGAAACTTCTCAGTGGTACTCCCCTTCAAGTGGCACCCAGAGTACATGCCATCCCTGCCATACCATAGATTACTAACGATGCTGCCTCCAGTCTTAGTCGGAGCTCATCCTCTTAGCTAGCATCTCAGACACCCAGCTGTGCTGGCCCACACTTCTTGTAATACAGGCCATGTTCTCTTTTCCTACAGAGTAGTTGCATTTTTGAAAATATCTGCTTCTTCTGAGAGCTAACATCAGTTCTTAATAAGTCATGCCAAAAAGAATCTCAGAGGCAGATTTTTGTTTAAATCTCCAGTATTTTTTGAAGAATAACTTAGAGTATGGTATCACTGATTTCACTGGGTGTCACCTTATTTGTTATAATCTTGTCCCAATATGTAACAGCAACTTAGAACAATGTGTTCCTTAATTTCATTGGTTCTTCATTTGTCCCTGCATGGAGAACCTCAGAGGGCAGTGGCCCTATCTAAATGCAAACTGTTGTCTTAAGCATATGTGGAGGAGAGAGGATTCTAGTGCATTTTTTTAAATGTTTCTAAAGCCCTGGAGAAGTCCATCAATCCTTAAAACATATTGATTCATTTTAGGGAAAATGAAGACATGACTTTTTTTACTTTTATTTTTTTTGAATCGGCCTGAGTAAATTTTAAAAAGTGACTCTGCCTCTCTGATTTCTCATTTCAGCTCTTTGAGATAACTATTTCACCATTAATTTCACATAAATGATAAAAAACCACCTAAATCGGCCATTCGTTTTGAGCATATAATTGTAAATGTCCATACATGGCTTAGTTTACAAAATAGTAGTAATATTCTGAAACTCCAAACACACATGTACTAATAAGGTCATGAGAGAGTCATATCTATAGTAGTTTTCATGCTTCCTATTGAACTGAATGCCTGACAATCGAAAGAAAACATTTCAATAGGCAAATTAATAAGTAAACGATATTCAGTAGATTACATGCATATTTAAGGAAAACAGAGACGGTGTCTCAAAGATGGTGGAACTCTACCTTGTGAGGCCCTTTCCAGAGTACACGGAGTGGTAGTACGCACTGCTCTCTTTGATGCCAATCCCGTAATAATGATACCTGGAGCAAGGACAGGAACCAGCTCTGTGTTAATGTCTCGAGAGGAAAAGAGACCAAACTGTATTTGAAGTAAACCGCAAGTAATAACTCTGGTTGCTTTATTACCTCCTTTGCTAATTTTTTCAGGTAACATCCTAATGTGTTGAATCTCTTCTTTGACCATTACTAATCCTACTGATAGTCATATTGCTAGGTCTGGGATCAAGAAAGCCAAAAGAAACATCTACCTGTAATCCTCTTCTCGTCCCTAAAGAATTGTTTGTTTGTCATCATGTCCTACAAGACGAAGAAGAACTGCCCCGACCTCATTGTGCTGAGCTTCACAGACACTGTGACGTTTATAAATGGAAGATTTGTGGTGACTGCGGGCTCAGCAAACCTCTTGGCGCCATTTCCCCACCAGCTTGTGCTCACTTCAGGTGTCTTTGTCACATATTGGTGACTCTCACAGTACTTCACGTTTTCTCAAAATTCTGTTTTCTCACTTTATAAACTATAGGGTAGTGTAAACATAACTTTCATATGCACTTGGGAGGCAAAATATTCATCTGCCTCACTTTCTCACAGGACTGGTTTTATTGCTGTGGTCTGGGATTCACTGTATTTCCGAGGTTCTTTAGGAGAGCAGATAATTAGGTCTTTTTGTCCGGTGTTTAACCATTGTACCAGCCGAGTCTTAGCCTAAAATATTGATTCTACAAACAAAGTGGTGGGAAAAATCAAGTGGATGCATTTGGTCTTATATGCCAAGTGTTTGTATTTTCACATTGCTTACTCTGAATTTAAGTTAGAACTTTGTTAATTTGAAGTTTGAGTTTAAATTTTAATTAGTTGGAAGCTTGAGTTAGTTTTAAGTTTAAAGTTTGGGTTACTTTGAATTTAACTTTGAATTTAGTCAACTAAACAAAGAAATATCTTAGTTTCCTTTAGAATGCATTCGACTGTGTGGGGACATAAAGTGACCTCATGAGGAAATCAGTGTCGTGAATGGGAACAAGTAGGAAGCATCTAATCTTCCAACAGACAGAGGTACGAGAAGCCCACTTACTATCATTTCCACTTCACACTTTAATGAAGAATTTTCACTTTAATCTTTTTATTCCATTGGTGGAAAAACAAGCTATATGTGCCACAAAGAGACAAAAATAAGGCTCATGGAAAATAGCAATGTTACAAATAATTTTATATCAATGTGTCAGTGGATCATGAGCCACCAGATAAGTACAACTTCTTATCTGTTCTCAATTTGTGGCTTTTTCTCCTAAACTGCAGACACCTGGCATATTGCACACCCAAATATAAAAATTGCAAATGTTGTACAAAAGCTATTCAAATTGTAGTGTTTAGTGAGGACGGCCAAAGCCTACTCACACCTGCTCCCAGTGGTCCACCCTCACTGTCCCACGGGAACCACCACCTCCACGAGTTCATCTACGCTTTGCATTCATCCAAAATCCAGAAATGAGTGCAGTCAAAGTTACTATGCGAGTTTCCAAGGGAGTCAAGTCTAACTATTAACACTTTACATTTCTTAGCATCATGGGGCTATGCGGGCTGGCCTGGGGCTGTGTGGACAGAGAATTTCAGGGATTAGAGAACTGGAACTGGGGAATAGTCTAAAAGAAAGATGTGGGTGGACCTTGGTAGGGCACATTCACTCAGGCCATGAACGCCTTGTCTCATGGAGGGCGGCAGCTGCGAGAGGGTGAAAGTAGAACCTGCTTACTATACGGCCCAGTGGTCGGTTCTCTCCGGCCAGGTTCTAAGTGCATTACTCTGCCAGAGAATTGCCTCTAATGGCCCTGGTACTTTCAAGATGGAGAAGTACAGAGTTTTTAAATGCATGTGTGTG